TTGCACTTCTAGACTTAGGAGCTGGTGTAAATCTTTTTTCTTATTCAGTCTATCAACAGCTAAGGGTAGGATAATTGAAGCAACTAGATGCATCATCCAATTAGTTGATAGATCTATGAAGATACCCAAGTGATAGATATAGGGTTGGGTGTGGGCCGGTTTTACTTGCGGGCTGACCTGGCCCAGCCTAGCATGCGTCATGACCCAACCCGATCAGTAGTGGGTCAGGTTCGACTTGGCCCATGATATACCCAGGTCAGTGGGCCAGGCCAGGTCTAACTCCAGACTTGGGGTCAAAGAAGTAGGACTGGCCTACGCTGACCCGGCCCATGCCCGACCTGACCCAGCTCGACCAATCCCGACCAAGGATATATTTTTTTGTTTGTTTAACTATTCCTTTAACTATTTTGGGTCTGTAGCTAGCTGCCAACAAAGCTAAAAGGCCATAGGTCTTTGACTTGTGGGACATTTGGCCTATTGAGAAACAAAGCAGCGATCTTTAAGCTCGTTGCTGTCTACTTAGAATGATTAAAAAATTTTATACAAGTTTAAAAATAGTTTAACAAAGGTTTAAATTATTAAAAAAATAAATTAAAAATAATTTTATAATTGTAAATGCAAGTTTTATATAATTAAAAAGGTAAAAAAAGAAAAAAAATAAGTTGGACGAAAAACCCATGGGCCAGCCCACGACCTATGGGCTGTGGGTCGGGTCAAATCCAGCCCACACCTAGGGGGTCATGGGCTAGGCTGGATCCAATCCCAAATGCAGGATTAGAAAAGTAGTTCCGACCCATTTTGACCCGACCGGGCCCAAGTCAGTCTCGTCGGCCTTGAACTCGACAGGTCGAATCACGAGCCTGAACCGGCCAAGCCCACGCACACTCCTAGGTTGTTCTGATTGAGATTAGGAAGTTATGTTTTCTGTTGATTTCATAGTCTTAGGTATGCAGTTGGTTTCTAATCACAAGGGGCAGATCTTTGTCATTTTAGAAAAAGCATTCTTAGTCACCTCAAATGCTCTGAATAACAGTTGAACCAGTTAAATGAAGTTATCCTTTTGCAGCATGACTGCCAATCTAGAGAGACTGCCGACTGATCTATTGCAACTGATTGATCCATTAGATCAACCCCTAGAAGTGAGCTTCACTCAAGAAATTTCTAGCAAACAATTAGAAGTAGAATGTGAGTTAGATCTTAGTTTATCTAACCTGAATTTTGAGCAGATATTTGATGAAGGAATTAAATTGTTAGAAGAGTTAGATCAACATGTAGATCATGTATCTATGCTGAGATGTTAACCTAAACCTTTTGATATAGAATCTTGATTCCAATTTCCTCCGCCTATAGAGAAATCCCTAAGTTAGAGCTCAAACATTTACCTAAAAATCTAGAGTATATCTACTTAGGGGAGAATGAGACCTACTAGTCATTGTTGCATCTGATTTGATAACCAGTCAAAAAGAAGCCCTCTTAAATTTTTGAGAGAAAATAAAGAAGCCGTTGGATGATCCATGACTGATATTAAAGGGATTAGTCTAACTATTATTTAACATAAAATTCATTTGATAGATGATGTCAAACCAACTAGAGATCTCCAACATAGGTTAGACTCGGTGATGAAAGACGCTGCTAGGAAAGATATTTTAAATTATCTTGATAATGAGATAATTTATAATATTTCTGATAGTTCTTAGATGAGTCCAGTCTAGTTTGTTCTTAAAATGTTTAGGATCACAATGACCCAGAATAAGTAAATGAGTTAGTTTCCACTCAAATCTAAACTGGATGGCGAGTCTGGACCGATTATAGAAAATTCAACTCAGATACACAAAAAGATCACTTACCTCTTCCTTTCATAAATCAGATGCTATAGCATTTAGCTGGACACGAGTTCAATTATTTTTTGCATGGATATTCAGGTTACAACCAGATTCCTATTGCTCCTAAAGATAATGTATAGACCATTCACTTACCTACGCATGCCCTTCGCATTGTGCAATTCTCCCGCTACATTCTAAAGGTGTATGATTTGCATTTTATGACATGGTTGAGCACTCCCTAGGAATTTTTATGGATTACTTTCCAATCTTTAGTGACACATTTTCTAGGTGTTTGTCTCATCTCAAACTTGTCCTAACACAACGAGGGAGAAAATTTTGACTCTCAATTGGGAGAAATGTCACTTTATGGTCAAACAAGGAATTGTCTTAAGACATATAGTTTCCAACAAGGGAACAAAATTAGACAAAGCTAAGGTTAATCTCATTTCTAATCTTCCCCGCCCAGTAGATGTTAATTAAGGATGTCAGATCACTCTTTAGTCACGCTAGTTTTTTCATTCTTAACTTAGAGTGGATGTCAATTACTCAAGTTCTTTTAATATAAATATTTCCTATGTATGTATGTGCATATGTATGTGTATATATATGTATGTATCTATGTATGTATGTATACACACACACACACACACACACACATCAACTGAAAAAAAAAACTAAAAGAGATCAAAAAATAGAGGAGTATTTCTATACTTAATAGCCTAAGCCAAATTGCGTTAGGATACATTTGCCCAAAGCTCATTACATAGTCACTTAAAAACTCGATAAATAGAAAAAATACCAAGAAACGAAGAGATGTGTGTGCACGCGCATGCGCGCATGTGTGTATGCTTGGAAAATAAAATTGATCAAGAGGTATGGAAATTGACTAAAACAAAGAGTTAACATGTTCTTTTCAGAATTTTAAATAAACATTTATAAGTTATACTTAGTTTTGTATAATTACAATGAAAAGATTTCTAAGAGATTTACTTTGGAGTTATACATAACAATATTTCTTAAGGAGAAACTAACTTTTATTAGATTTTTTAAAGATATCAAGTAAGTTAATTCAATTTTGACTTCTTCAAATCGGCAAGAGAACAAGTTTTGTGCGTATATTCATTGCAAACTCTCACTAGACTATAATTCATTCACTAGGATAACCTAGGGGCTGAGTTTAAAGGCTTGTTCTATGAGCTAAATATAATCGTAATTCCTAGAAAAGTGATTGGATTTTTTTTTCATTTTTTCATTGTCTTTCTTTGCTAAAGGACTGGTAAAGTTTAGATATGCGGGTATTTAATTATCATATTTTTATCGCATTTTCATATCCATATTTGAAATAAGTTTCATGCAAATAAATGATTAATATTATGTTTTTATCTTGTGTTATAGAAAAAATAAATAAAATAAATAAGAGCTCAAATAAAGATTATCTCAAGCTCAAAAGATCTCTAATTGATGCCCGAAAGGTGCCAAGTGAAGTCCAACTCAATAGAGCCCAATAGAATTTTAGCAAAAACCACAATAGGAGATAACCGGGTATCTATACTATTATCCATATAAGTGTTGATACTAATACCAATACTGGTATTAATACTAGTAACGATACCCAACCAACAGATGAAAAAACAAGTCAAAGGTGAAAATTATGCTACTTGGAGAGTGACTTTGATCTAAGGGATCATATCAGTCTATGTAATCTACAAATAGAGATAAAGAGTGATGATGAGGGATGTTAAAAAATTTTGTAAATCCTCTTTTAGAAGATAGGAGGGCTACTCTTTGAGAAGGCCTTCAAAATATTATAAAACATTAGTTTTACAATAAAACTAAAAATTATTTTTCGTTTTAACTTTATTCTTCTTTTCTTGTGTTGATGAAGACCTGAAGGTTTTTTTTTTTGGGTCTACACAAGTCGCCAACATCTTGCAATATGCGTTTCTTTTTAGTTTTAAACTTTTATTGTTTAATTAGAATTGCATATTTAGGAATTAGTTTAGATTAATCTTAATTCATGCTTTGTTTTGCTTGTTTAATTTCCATACTTAGTTTTTCTTGCTTAATTTAGGAATAGATTTATTTTAATTCTTAGACAGTTAGTTTATTTTCTTGATTTTTTTATTTTTTTATTCTAATTCTTGCCTTTTTATTCATGTTTACATTATATGCTCATAATTTAGGATTTAACAAAACGTGTGACTAAATTTCTAGGATAATTAGGATAAGAGGAAACTAGTATGAATTATTTATTAGAATTAGAATTGCTCTATTTCATTTCCTAATTGTTTATGTAGAGATTAATCAATCTAAATAATAGTTGATAGAATATTCTAATTTGAAATGTTATATTTTCCTTAAGTGGTTTGATAATCTATGATTATTAGTATCCTAGGATTATTTTTTTAGTTGATTATCTATGCATACATTTTATTTTTATTTTTAGAACATATATTGATAATCCATTTTTTCTTTAATTAGATGGATAGATTATGCTTTTTAATTCTAAAAATGAATAAAAAAAGTAATTTCTAGATCTATAAATAGTTATATATAAGAATCTATCCTAATTTTCTAGTTTAATTATCTTGTTTTTCTCTCTTTTATTCCCTTGTTTTGTTAGTTTTCATCTATTCTTTCTCTCCTAAATTCTTTTGGTTTTTGCATTTTTTACTTTCTAGTTTTTTGACGTCTCCATTTTCTTTCCACTTATTCTCTTATTTTTATTTTTATTTTTATTTATTTAATTTTATTTTTCTATTTTCTATTTTCTCTTTTCTTATTTGCATGTCTATTCTCTCCTCTCTCCATCTTTCTAGTTTTTATTTTCTTTTCCTTAACAAAAACCCCTAAACCCACTTTCTACCCCCATTTCATAAAAATCTCTTTTCAAATAACTTTTTAAAATAATTTTTCTAATTTAAAATTATAGAAACTCCTCTTTGTGGTTCGACATTTCTACACTACAACTTGGCCGTGTACTTGCAACACACATTTTCTCACAATGTCAATTTATGGTTGGGGTTAAACATAACAGAATATTATCGCTCATTTATAACCCCAACTAACGTAGAGACTTATATCAACACAATATGAAGATTTGATGGACTAATATCGAAATATGAAGATTTGAGAGACAAACACGAAATATAAAGATTTGAGGGACTGATACAAATTACTAAAGATTAAGGGACAGATGTAGTAAAGCCCCTTGAATGTTTTGTGTGCAGCTCATCTCTCAAAGTAAAAGACTTTCCTAAAATTTACCCAAAAACAAACTTGCCTTGATTCGACCTTCTTTTATCCCGATTGAACTGATCGTTAATCGCCATCAAAAACTTCAATTTATTGAATTCCTCTTGAACCCGTTTCAATCCAATCATCTAAATCCCAACCCACACGTCCAAATCACACCTTGCTTTTGATTCATTAGCTCCCATTCGTTACACTTGCTTTGATTAATTGTTGCCCCATTTTCGATTTCTTTGAAAACCCATTTCAAATTGACGATATAATAACCAGCCCCTCGATCAAAATCTCAACTTGATGTGTTTAGCAATGGAGGGTTTGCAAGATGTGGCCCCAAAAATTTTTATTAGGACTCATGCATTGTCGATGATCTTGCTTCTGAGGCACTTCAAGCGCAGATACTTGGTCCGGTTCTTGATGCAGCTCTTTGCATGTGAAGTGTTCGTTATGATGCCAAAGTGAGTTGTTTCTATTGTTTTCGTTCTTTGGAGTTATTTTTTGTCTAAACTTTTGAAATTAGTTGTTTTTCTTGGATATTGATGGTTTATCAACAATTTAAAATCTTGTTAGCGAAAGAGCCAAAGGAATCAAGTAGGTTAAGCAAGAGATTTTTTTTTTTAAAAGTTTTCAAGATTTTGAACATTATTGATGATGACATACGTCTAAGTGTTAGCTTCTGAATTCTTAGGGCTTTAGCCTTTTATGCTAAAAGATAACTTTTTGAAATGGGAAGTTATCCGAAATAGCATATAGCTAGCAGTTGTAGATCTGCTATCCTGTGAAAATGGATCCTTATGGTTTAAGGTACACAATTTTGAATCTAAATGTAGAATCTGTCATAAATATATCTGTTTTGTTTAATAAATTTAGCTCATGTTCTTACTGCAGATGTGCCTTAATTCCTCTACTTGATTATCCCACCCCCTCACAGCTTTACTTCCCTCAAGATTGCCACCTTATTACTAGTCTTGTACATTCTATTTGAAATAACCCTCTATATGTTCAACATTTTTTTAGCTATTATTTATCTTCGGTAGTAGTTTAGGAATGCAGTACGTACAATGGGGTTGTTGCTTTTTCTTAATTGCAGAAACAAGATAATAGATATTATTACATAGTGTGTGCATGCATGGACTTGCACAAGAGCAACAAAACATAATTAGGTTATTTATGTCACTAGTAGTGTGATGCTTGTAATTAGGTTATTTGTGTCACTAGTAGTGTGATACTTATAATGAGGTTAGTCCTCTTTTGTATTTTGCTAAGTTACATGGATATGGGTATGAAAACAGCACACAGAAAATTTGTAATAGGTAGGCTACGGGGACACGCCTACATGTACACATATGTTCAACAATAACTTGTAGGAAATCACTTTTGTTTTCAGTTCATGTGCTATGTAATAAAATTCGTGTAACATTTATATGTTTAATATGGATCTATAACTTAGAAAATTGCTCATTTTTTAACTTAAAAATCAAAAGGACCTTTTATAATCATAGTTTTGGATTTGGTACAAGCTGAAATTAACGTAAATGATGGTCAACAAGTTTCAATAATTGCATATCAAGGGAGGATATAAGTCCAAGAAGTATATGATGAGTACTTTTACTTAAAACATGTATCATATAAATGAGTACACATGTGATTAAGTGTATGCAAATTACCAAGGAGTGCCCACTGAAGTTTCAGCGTTGGGTGTGGGTACGACAGGGGTACACCTCCAAATTAAAGTACTCATGCAACGCAGGTAGTATGGGAAGCTAGCTAAGAGTTTTTACTTGTGCATAATGTGCACACATGCATGGCACTCTTGGAACAAACACTCGCATACAATGATGCACACCTGCACGCAGTGCCCACTGAAGTTTCAGCGTTGGGTGTGGGTACGACAGGGGTACACCTCCAAATTAAAGTACTCATGCAACGCAGGTAGTATGGGAAGCTAGCTAAGAGTTTTTACTTGTGCATAATGTGCACACATGCATGGCACTCTTGGAACAAACACTCGCATACAATGATGCACACCTGCACGC